ATGAGCTCTTTCTCGGTAACTTCATCGTGCGGCGTCTGTTTTTGTCTTATTTCGCTTCATCATTCTTTCACTCTTTACAATCATTCAAGAAGAAATCATTACGTCCTGGAGCCCCATGATCATTGTCATCATTTTCCTATTTATCATCCTCCGTTTCATAATGATTTCTCTTTTTCTATTTCGTATAACGATTCAATTTAACCTTTCACACACATTCTATCATTATCCCATCCATCATCATCAGCATGAACGCAAAGTTTTCCCACGTACAGACATAACCAATATTTTTCTGCTGTTTCGCACGATTTCCAGGTGATTTTCGTTTTGTTGTTCACTTTCCACTCGTCATAATGCTCTTCCCTACGCATTTGATAATAATATTATACTATATTTATTATTTAATTGTTATTACTGTACCACTAGGCTAGACACGGGAAGCGCAACAGAACGTTTGTATCTCCCACCATTACTACAACTAAAGAATATGACTAACGCGGTAACACTAGCATATATATATATATATATATATATATATATATATATATATATATATATATATATACATATAGTGTGTGTAGATTAGATAGAAATTTGCGCGTAAGCGATCCTGCATAAACGGCAACTTTGCGAATAATGGCGGCGCGTCAAGACAGTTGATTAATTCGTTTCACGCCTCTTTTGAACATGTCATTTCGATAGAGGATGCCAACAAGGTCTCCTGTCTGACGCCAGAAGTCCAATAAAACCATTGGCATCTTAATTTATAATAATGCAACCAGTGCGTTCTAGAACAGGATTTAGAGCGTCAAACTACATTTGTCGCTTGGTATGATGTGCAAATGTCGCCAACACAGAACGTTTTCGAAATACTCTTTCTTCTGAAAAAGAGTACTCTTTTTTTTCTGGACTGTCCCAGTTTTACCAGCTGATAAACTAAACTGTTTTTTCTTGCTCAACTAGTTCATCGATTGTCTATTTTGCAATCAGAGCTGCACTATTCTGCAAAACTTTGAGACTTTAATTATCGATATTTTATCATGCCGGGCGCAGAGCATAACCCAAGTGCTGTTCGCAATGAGCACTCTACTTAATTCTACGCCAATGGGTGAAAATAGGGAACTAGCTCCACATGACTGCGCACACACTAGCTTGCGAAAGACAGCGTGTTTCCCAATCTAGCTAGCCCTAGACCGTTCAACCTATCCCGCTGCTCTCGTAATGAAATTGGCGCTGGTCTCGGGAACACGTGAAATATGTAACAATACTAATAATAATAAATGGTCGGCTATAATAAAAGGAACAAAGTCGTTACGTATCAATTATGGAGATAAATCGGCTATAATATTGACGCTTATGTATTAGGACATGTGTCTGTGTGTGTGCGTACCACTTTGCCTAAACGTAAGCTATTTGTGTGTTTGTTTCATGCGTTGTTGTACTACATAATTAATCTAACAGAATACTCGCATGTGCATACAATAATAATCGGGTGAGAATGGTATGGAGAAGGTTCTGACGCATAGGAGAATATAGGAATTAGCATGGAGGCGAGTGCACGTGAGTCAACTTCTTTTCTTTTTTCCTCTATTCTTTTTATTACTCTATTCTGGTTCAGTATATCTAGCTGAGTGTTCTTTCATCTATTGTTATTTGCCTCCGTCATCCTATTCGAACATAGATGTACCGTCGATGAGTTAATTAATACCATCGATTCATCTACATATTAACAATGATGTAAATCTTTGCAACAGTAAAATTTAATAGGCCCTGACCGTCATGAACGCATACACATACATTGTACCTTATTTGTCTCTAAGGTTTCTATATTGTGTTCTTACAGTCATCTTTGATCTCGACTTGTGGTTACTCTTGAAAAAAACTGACATGATTTCCTCACCAGACTCCCCTATCTATAGGATTTGTGGGACAATCACTTTCACGCACGTTTGACCTGCGCAGCATAAGTATTGCAATTTTTCACGCACATTGCAATTAACTCATCGCAACGAATAATCTTCCACCAGCGTAAGCTTTCCCATGATATATCATGCATTTTCCGTATTTGCACTACGTTTTTTTACAGCTTTCAAATATCCATTCATCCTGCACCGAGTTGCCGCGTTTTTTTTTTGAATTTCAACGTAAAACGAAAATCGATACCTTGAGGCTTATATTATTATGTTCACGCTAATCGGCACCTGTCGTTTTGTCCGGCACTGGGACCTCCATACCCCTTCTTTCCATGGTAAATGCTCACGCCCCACAATTATTCTAATTTGCAGTAAGTCTGATTGAAGCTTGATCTACTATTCTGTAGTGAGATATTCGTTGAACTACTGAGATAATTTTTGTGTGCGGAGAAATGATCTTGCTCTACGCGAAATTTCTGCTGTTTCTACTTTTAAACACACTTGCCTAATGATTGATTATCGTCAACGTGGCAGACACACGCTGTCATAACTTAGTCAGTATCATTGGTTTAATCGCATAAGCTTCCTTTATACATTAATTAGGAAAGAGTATGTTACTGACGATACCTTAGGGCATGATTAAGTATGTGCTGGAAGCTGCAACTTTCGGGATATGCGAGAAGTGTTCTTTATACCCACTCCTTTATACCCGAGAAGTGTTCTTTAAACTCAGCATTAGAATAGACTAGGTGATTTCTTTCCATTCGATACCTTAGTTACGTTATAATATTGATAAATCATGGCTACTTTCGATCTCACTACTATTGGCGAATGGTCACCACGTACTTGCCATTCCATTCATTTACATATCATTCATTACCTACGATTGTATGTTCACCTATACCCTCAGTTATTCTTGAGGATGCCCTAGTCGCTAACGAATTCTGCAAAAAAAACATGATTTCCCCTGACCTTCAAACGCTTTAATGATAATATAGGAGCTCCCTTAGTGACTGAAAACTTGGAGACACTAGACGTCTACGCCTTTTTCCTTTCTCCATACCACACCCTAATATAATCATTATACATTATATAACTTCGGTCTAACTCTTTTCATTACTTAATTTTTCCAAGCCTATTTATTTTATTAACTAATCTATTTTCTCTTATTTCGTTATTAAATCGTCTATGATTACTGCTACCATAAACTAGCACTTGGCCCGCTTAAAGATCGTCTTCACTTCCTCACTCCCACTGACTTTTCGCTATCTTGGCAGATTTCTTTACACCAACATCACTTCCTCAGATCTTGGAGCCTATCGAAAGAGTCTTGTGCTGATCAGTCATTTAAACCAGAGAATGGCTTGCGCCGTAAAATAAAGGTACAGCCGCCTTATCTCAAAATGAGTGGTATAAGCTAGAACTAGACGCCATTTGTTTTCTTATTCTGTGGCCTCTGCCCCTATATTGGCGGGAGCTATACGCTGCACACAACTGCGATACGCGAAGTCCCACACCGCTTAAAGGACAGTTGGTCAGATTTGGTTCAGTGATTCTAGTTGCGTGGGTGTTATTGGAGGGGGGATTGAGGCCAGATATGCAGTATACGCACATGTAATGCGGCATTTACCAACTACACTGAACACGTTAGGGACCTCCCAGTCATTAAACCCAACAGTCATTTGCACGAACTGTATACTAGTATTTTTGAACAAGCGTTCGCTCAACAGCGGTTAAGCCCGGTACTCGGTAGCATTTACAATCATAATAACAACGACTTGAGAACAACATCCATTGAATGGCTTATACAGTGGGGACTGCAAAACTAGTGGCATGGAGGTGAGGAACACAGCTTTTAGACTTCAACTCGATTTATTATTTGTGCCTTAAAATGTCCTATTACTAATCTCTAATACGTCTTCGATCGTTGTGTCAGCCGCTATAAGTGAAATGTTTTGGTACATCACTCCAGCCAACCTCCTGTCTTCAAGTATACCCCATTTTTATATGAACGGTTGCTTTTGGTGTATGTTCTTCCTCTTTACTTCTATATCAACCATTATTATTATCATTATACTTTTAATCGTATGTTCAACATTTCTGTAATAACATGTACAATGGAAGAATGGTTACAACTGTGCTATCCTCGACCCGCAATTGTGTCCACCATGTTTGTGTACTCCACTGGGTCTCTGACGACCGTTTAACTACGTTAGCATATGACACAGGTTGTCCGACCTTCGCTGCTTTGAGGGGTTCGCGTTACTGACAGGGCGTTGATTCGACCAATTACTTGAGTGAAGATATCGAGTACGCAATCGTTCTGTTTCGCAGACGCTTCAAGGAAGACACCTTTCATGTATCGAGCCAATTCGCGCCCCTCTTCGTGGCTAACCACCCGTTCGTTTCTTAAATCGTTTTTATTTCCGACCAGTACAACCGGTAGCTGCGGCAGACCTGTCTGATCCAACAGCTTGTGGTAGATCTTCTTGACGATTTCGAACGATTGTTTCGATGTAACGGAATAGACCAGAACGTAACCGTGTATGTCCATCGTATAGCCAGGCGGGTATATTGAGAATTCATCCTATCAATACACCATACAGGAACACACGATAAATACATATGATACAAAAAAAATATGAGTCATTTTTGGGGCTCTAATAAATTGGCGATGGGAGACGTATTATACTAGAGGAAAAAGTTATACTAAATTAGAAATAGGAGAAAGGTGAGTTTTAGAATATAATGTGTATGGGTCAAACAATATATTTTTGAAAAGTTTAGCTAATTGCTCTTACCTGTCCTGCCGTATCAATGATCTTCAGCGAAACGTCCTTTCCTTCAAACTTTACGGTTTTCACAAAAGCTGAAAGATGATGAACGATAAAAGATAGTGATTGGTTTACTAAAAAGCGTATTTCACTTTCAAAATTGTTGGCAAAGTATTTTATTATTAATAATATAATCATTTGAACCATCCTAAAAATCTATTTTAACCTAAGTACTACTTCAAACATAACAACGAACAACTCTAGGTGAACAAGGTGGTTTCTGAATTCGAGGACGCTTATTAAGATATGGTTTAATTCTAGTCCTCATCAAAATGCATGAAGCTATCAAAGTATCTTCGCAACTAGAAAAAAAAGGTTTTACTGTACAGATCGTACAGTACACATATTTATAACTCTTGTTTTAGCACATATAATAATAACGTTTCATATTAAATAATGCACATTTTCGTAGTATCTTCGTTACGCTTAGGCCTTCGGGTCAACACAAAGTAGGTTGCGCGGACTTTTTCGCTTAAAAACTAGGGCAGCAGAACGTAGCTGTACGCAAGTACAAACCTATCCCAACTTCAGTGTCGTCAAGTATCTAGGATTTCCTCACAAAAATAGCAACAAGGTAGGTTTAAAACAAGTCTTCAGTATGCAACTACACTGGGTTTTATTTGCTAAGCTCTACGCAACAGTTACGTTGTCGACAGTCTCTGAAAATATTCCATCTATATGTTGTTTAATTATCTGTTGCTGAGAAGCAATCCTCTACAGTGAGAACTTCCTAGGCTAAATTTTATTATAGCTGAGTTTCACAACAAAAGTATCATTAAATTTAAATTGCTGGCTTTATTATTAATACGACAAAAAATAAAACATTATATTAGATGTCAGGAATAACCCCCAAATAACTGAAATCATTTTTGAGACTCCTGTTAAATAATAACAGACTAAATAACTCGATTCGTCACTGCCATGATGACTCGTCACTGTACATTCGAACCAGATTATGCAAACCGTATCGAATCGAAGATCATTGATAACAGTGTCCTATTTGTTTGCACTGTGAAATTCTCTTGAAGAAAAAGCCAGTTTTCCTTTATTTCGTATAGTATGTCCCACAGTAATCATGACTCGAATAAATCACTTATGCTATAGTAAATAACACTGACAAAATGGTCGCTTGTATCGTCGACGGGAATAATGTGCAATCATCCACTAGTAAAACGGTGCTGCACCGAACTCACCAGTGAATCACGCGACAGAGGCTGTCACGTTGTAACATTATGTGTAGCACTCCGTAGCAAACAAAAAAAGCAGATTTAATAGAGTTAGAAGCGAGATATAAAATAATAAAAAGAGGTGCTATGCGAAGAAGGAAATCCGCTGAACCTAAGGCTTTCATGATTATTACTTTTAAATCACTATCATCACTTTGCTATAATATAGTGAATAAAAAAAAAAACTTCTATTCAATAATGTGACTCAGTACTTCAGACATTTAGTATATAGAGTGTGTCCAACGGATTCTTAATCCGTTCGAATCACTTAACAAGAATTATCCCAGTGCCCGTTAAACACTCTAAGTATTGCATCACTAATTGTCTGTGGTGAATTAAATTGACGTCATCAATGTTAAGCATTGTTTGTCTCACATTCAAGACCCGCATAAGATTACGAAATCAGACTACGCTAATTGAAGTCTATAGAGAGGTTACCACGTCTTGTTTTGACTATCGTCTTGATGGACCACGTTTTAACCAGTTACTGATGACAACTATCAATTGTAGCCCCATCGATACGATAGGTCGTCTTCAATATAGTCGTTTCATGCATACTAATGACAGCCAGTTAAGCCCTAGTTTTGTAACCCCAAGTGAGCATTCCCTGACCAGGAGTAACGTACCCTGACTATGAGAATAGGTTGCATTTAAGTAAACCCTCACATTAGTGAAGTGATCATTGATTCGAAGAAAGAGCATCGAGCATGAACTACTAATGTTGCTAAAATTCGTTATTGGAGTCGTCCAAGTTCGCACATATTTTCCCTCAGTATTGTTATCTTTCAATGGGATTAAACATCCGCTAAACACAACATAAAAATGTTGACATTTTTCATTCACAACATACAAGTACCTCTCTAACCTTCAGTGATGTCATTCGATGTCTTGGAAAAGAAATAACTCTGAATAAATAATAAGTGTATACATGCTTACAATCCGTACTCCAAAAGTTTTTTGGTACAAAACGTCTGTTTATATTACTGTTAAGGCTTAATAAGAGTATGTACTTACTGTTTTCGATGGTTGGATCATAAGAGTCAACGAATTGATTTTCGACAAATTGTATCGCAAGTGAAGATTTGCCTGAAATCGTAGTAAAATTTTGTTAATTAGTAAGCGCAAGAGATAAGTCAATGCATTCATTAAAAACAATACGTGTTCAGGACCAGGATCCCAATATACTTATTATAGCTGCGGTTCGTATTTTTATTTGATAGGTACTACCAGTCTATTTTTATACATATTTATTTACTACCCAAACGTATGGTCTTAATTACATTCTTGAGAATAGTTGCAGGTTAGAATAGGAAACGAATTATTGACTGCTGGCACATACGTATTATAGAACTGCGTGTACCTGTCTATAGGTTCTAGTAAAGTGAGTATTTATTCTCTTTAAGTTTAAATGATATGTAATACCTTTAGCACAGATTAAGGCCCCCTTGTGGGCCACATGGAGAGTTCTGAAAAAGAAGTAATGTCACTAAAGAACGCTGAAAAATAATGAGAAGATGGATCATATCAGCTGAATTGATGTGATACTTTTATTCCTGAACTGAGTCCTTTAGGTTATCACTGTTTCGAACGATGAGTTCATATGGAATAACGTTATAGTAAACACCTTAAAAATCGCAAGTAAACGTTGACATTTGGTTTAAGCAATTCTAAGTAAAAAAGGTTCAATAGCCATTCGCAGTAGAGCCAAACGAGCTTTTGACCAAAGCGTTCAAGATATTCTTGAATTGAAGATTTCCTACAATCACACCTATTATTACAAATGCATTTGAATTTCTGGAATCTCATTAATCCATGATAGCGTTCGCCTTTATAGCAGTATGATAGACAATCATGTAATCCAATCGCGTTAATAACTACTGACTGGACCCACTAGTCATTTTTGCAGCGTTTGTAGAAGTACTCAAAAGAGACCTTATCTTTATAGTGACGCTATAACTGTATAATATAGCCGAAATTCAAAACTTCCGTTACACTTGCAGTATATGTAACGATTGCATTGGCATTCGAAAAATGATGGCTTCACGCATGTCGTTTACTTATTATGTTAGGTGTTTTTTTTTTATGAAACCTAAGCTTCAATACTTTCTTCTTTTTATTACTTTTTAAGGTGTTGTGAAATATATTTAACGCGCCGTATCTGTATTACCAGAGTTTTGAAGAAGAAAGTTACCGAATGTTTACAAGAGTTTCCCCGTTTTAGTAACTCGCGGTTACTGTAACACCCAAATAAATCTCATCACATCCTCCTCGGTTAGGGACGGGCATTTTCTACACCTAACTCAAGGCCAAATATAGCATATGTTTTTCGAAAAATCATTAATACCAGTATTTCATGGCTGATACAACAACGTGTTCAGGCGCATGTAACATTTCTTCCTTTCTAATATAAAAATAATATAAATGAATTCGTGAATAATAACTAAGTAAATTATATGAATGACAGCAGTTCGCATTAATCAACGTACCTAAATTACACCGGTAAGATGACATTGAAATGTTTGTCAGATACCCGACAAAGGTATATAATTATCAACTCGAGTAAGATATTCATAAAAACTTGGTAGGTAACATGAAAGATAAAAATCTCCGATGTAAGTCAATATCAATACCATCTGAAATACACCTACGCGTAAGATGGATGAATGCTTTTTTCTGAAGAATGTTTTCAATGTATCGTTAATTTGAGCAAATAGGTAGTTTTTTTTTTGCAAATCTGCCATTTTCTTGCGGTTTTTTGTAGGTCTTTTTATGCATATTTATAAGAAAGTTAGAGAGAAAGGGCGAAGTGGCCTATATTTTTGGAACCTTTTTGTCAAAAAATGTTTCATACTAGCAAAATGGTAGCCGAAAGCTTACATGGAAATCGATCTATTTTTTTCGAAAAATCATTAATTCTAAATTAGTGTGAAGAAATCTATGTGGTAGAGGTTGTTTACGATAACAATAGAAAGCTCTTGCCTAGCTGAATGCGAATGCAATGCATGTTCCTATTCCAAGTCCCTGTTTTCAAATTGAAAATGCTCCCCGAAAAAGAGCGAAAAATTAATAACATTTTTTTTAAACGCCAATCAATAGATTTAGATAAGATGGGTAAACATACAAGACATGTATTTTTACCTAAAATAGATATTTCGTTCGGAAAATGACCAAAAGCCCATTGTTAGATGAATGAGTTTGTTTCCCACACGCGAGAGTGGAAAGTGAAAATGAGTTTCGAGTTAATTTTAGATGCTTTTTTGAGTGAATTTCTAATAAATGTCTCCAGTTTGACTATGTATACTTTAGTCAAACAACCCATTCCTAAAATTACTCTCTGAAGTGTTTTCTTTTTTAGGAAAAATAGCGAATCGAAAACAGTCTTTATGCTTGAAGCTTTATTTTGTTGATGTCAATTATTTACACCAATCCAGAGATATTGATGAGCTGCGCAAAAATGCAATACGCTTTCCTATAGCTAGCATGAATATTTTAGCATGAAAAAAAACAAAAAAAAAACAAATGTAATGGCTTTTTCTCTCAAGTCACACCGGGCCAAAATTTTTTTTGCATGTAAGTCTATATAGGGAAGATATCTCTTGGTACCACTTTAAAAGCCCCGATAAGCCTAGATAATCTAATACGCTTCTTTAAATCTTTAAGGTAAAGCTCAGTTTTTGGGTCGAAAATGCTGTTTTGGGAGGGGACTTAGCATGCTCTTGCACGAAGGGTTTTTCTTGGCGCTAATCGACAGTCCTCGACGAGCTGAATAAAATTGCACTATATATACTATACTCATATAATAAAAAATCTATGTTTTTGAGTGAATGCGAAAACCCTTTGGTCATATTACTTTACCTATGTAACAACGGGCTGATAATGCGTTTCGAGTGGTTGTTTCGGTGGCTTTCTAATAAATGTCAATCGGAAAGCCAAAACAGCTAATGTCGAGCTGCTTTTCGTGAAAAAAATTTCATTAATTTTCACAGCAAAATGCCAGAATATCAAGAAAGAGACTTAAATAATCATTATAAAAAATAACAAAAATATGGTAATGTGAAATATTTGTGAGGTCCTAGAAACGAAGATTAACATGTTATTAAATATGGGTGTCTTCATTCAGTATCCAACTGTTTATTAACAAAGGAAAATTGAAAAATTTAAAGTCCTTAACATTGGGAATGCCTTAAGAACAGAATAAATACATCAGTCTAAACATATAAAATCATGAAACGTTTATTAGACCTCAATCTAGTTTAGTATCCGCCACCTTTATTATAAAAAAAAAGAAAAAACATTGCCTTGGTAACGCACTGGAGATTAACACGCCAAAAAAATATATAGATCTATTGAAATATATATCCATTCCACGTATATCCTCGTTTAAAAAAATCTGTAAGTACTCATGAAAAAAAATCTTCGATGACGAACTAGGAACAAAATTAATAGGTTAGCTGGCTCTGTCATTGACAACATGCGTAAGAGTTGGTCGAAGGGCGTCTCGATTCATGTAAGCCATTTAGAAGTTGGCCGACTGCCTATTCATGCGCGTTCGAAAAACAAAGTCAATCAATTAATATTAAGAAGTTTCGTAATTACATTACAAACGTGTGCTAAAGACATAACATGTTGCAGGCTGATCAAATAGTCACAGACGGGTAACAGGTTACTTAGGGCAAAGTAATCCTAGGGGGAGAGCTGTCAGTCTATATTTTCTATGGTTAGTGTTAAGCTAAATTTAGCATCAACAAACCAGATACATCGCAAAACATTCATATAAATTTATGGCTGCATCCAGTACACACATCTTAATGTGTAGATTACTTTGTGTCTCTATTAATATACAGATACCCAACCCATATAGTCTGCGAAGTATCGTGTAAATTACTGAGTCTGTCAATAAATATTGATCAATAAATAATGACAGCAACTTTACTACATAAAAATTTCAAATCCATCAACATATTCACGAATTATAAATGCGCAGTATAATAAAGTTACAATATTTGGACAGTTTCTTCAAGTGACTAGATAATATTGCGTTAGCGGAACTGTTAAAAGAACATGTTGCATACGTCTGGTGGATATTATGTATGTCAATGCATATTTGTATGTATTCGAATATAATGGTCTATTTCTTGTTAAACTCTATTACACATAAGGTTCACTCGCATATCATTTTATGCAATGGAAAAGCTATGGCTGTCATTGCTCTATAATTATAAAATAAAATGGCAATACTACGCAAGCGCTGACGACCGTTTTCTAAAAGCACATATATGCACAAAGACCACCGATGCATAACAAGAAAATCCATATAAATCTTTTCCCTTACACAGGATAACGGTGCGTCAATAGTTTATTCTGAGATCTACTATTTATTTAAATACAATGAGTCCACCTCTTGCCTCTGGTGCTACGGCTGCTCTTTACCCTACATTTTTCCTTTGCTTCTACTATCTATTGCGTTTGAGTTTTATATCTAAATAACAGTTGTTCTGTAGATCTAACTCAGGGCACTAAACCGGTCTGGCGTTCGATATCAGTGTAAGATCTTGGAGAAAACAAACTTGTTTGCGGCAGGCGTCCTACTGACATCTCGTTTCTGTTGTCAACACAGATCTATTTTACCCGCGCTAATCGCAACCGTGAGGATGCAAACAAGCCAACTTAACTAATGCGTAGTAAACGATTGATTACAGGGACAGAAGCGATAGTAGCAACTGCAACATTAATTCTTCACCAGCAACACTTTCACCTGTAATGAGATCCTGATTCAACACTCTGACAGGAAGACCTGAGTAGTAAAGCTGCTTGACTCCGACAACCTAATCTGACAATCTTTCTTAGAGTACCATGAAATGCTGGACACAGTAATTTCTTCACATTCGTACGATACTCATTAGAAATTTATTTGGTACGAAGGCATCTTTGATCGCCTCACCTGATACATACTTATTTTTCTTTTTTCAGTATTCTTACTATTAACATTATTATCATGTTAAACAAATGTACACTGCACATCTAACAAGTTCCAGATGTGTCGTAAAATTTTCATATCTTTTTCCGTTATTGCTCCATCTCGACCTAATATATTTGTTTCGCCCCAGCACCAGCGGGCTTTTCTTTTTGAGAAACCGCTGCTAGCTCTCGCTCTTTGTTCTCTCTGGGCTTGAAGGAGCTAAAGGAGCAACCAATCAGATGACCAGCTGAGCAGCAATCCGTGATATCTATCTGGTGGGTGCCGCATTAACGTAGCCCAGACATAGGGATAAACAATGACGCACGTAGCTGCAGCGAAGTCGCAGTGTCAACGTGACTTGCTTGTTCATTGCGACTCGCTAGTACATCGGATAGTCAGTCCTAAGCAGTTAGATCGCAGGGGTCGAAATCCCGCCAAGGACACCCTGTACAAACTGAACAGTCAAGCTGATTTTCTCGCGATCTTTTGCCCCTGCTTGCAGACCTATTCGATAACTACCTGAGATATGCCGTTTTCGTCGGGTAGAAAAACATGCAAGCATAACATGCTCTGCCCTAGGAAGGCGCGGTTGGCTGACAGGAGTCGGTGGCTGTCCTACTGCAAATACGAGCGCGCAAGTATGGCCCAATGTGGGCCACACATACACAATGTGGGTCCGCTTCATACACGGCGCTGTCATCTGCAACCAGATGATCTAAACTAGCTACTGGTTTACTACTATTATTCAGTTACATCAACTACTCTAGTTTGACTTACCGACACTCCGGTAGCCCATAATGGCCACTTTTCTATAGACTGCAGGCATCGCGAACTTCGGAGCACTCGAATCTGTGTCTGCACTGTAAATAGGGATGAATCTACGAGCACAAAAGCACCTGACACACCTCTCGTATTTAGACACACTGCCTTCTTACTAGGGATTTAGCAGACTGGCCAGCTAAGATTCGCCACTGCACTGCAACAGCAAATTAACTGGCTGACTTTTTCTAGCAGTCACGGGCAGACACTGATGACCGCTACCACAACGTTAAAAATTTCCCCCCACGCTTCTTCTATGTGGGTAAGCAATGGGGTACCCCAAAACGTGTTCGAACGAACAGTAATAATAACACGAGTATTGCCTTGCGGACTCTGACACGGTTATTGATCGTCGTGTGTGTCCGTCAGCAGTGATTTCCGTTAATAAATCGAACTCGATATCAGTCGTAGTGTTTTAGTGTATTTGCTGCTCAGTAAAATTCACTATAGTGTAGTTACTATCGTTAGTATACCATACAGAACGGGCACGCTCTCGAACCGTTCGCAAAAGGAACAGTCAGTTTTTCAGATGAACGTTCCGAGCTTCGAGGTGCTACCACAGACGAGTTGGTTACCAGTATAGGCGAAGCTTGACGAGCACAGCCCGCTGATACTGTTTTCTGTCTGTCGTTACCGCTGTGATTAGTGTGGTAGTACTAGTGATAGTAAAAGCAGTAATTGTTTTTTACACCGCATATCTTGTTAAATTCCCTTTTCGCCCCGCTCGGATTCTGTGAGGAGACAACACACACACGAACAGATAATATCAAGCAAGAAACACTCGTGACGGAATGTACAGGCGAACTACAATAACACAGGAAGACGAGTCGATGTCGACAACAACATTTTTGAGCCAACGGCAAACACATATATCGTTCGTTGAGCCCAGTCGAGGCGCGAGTAGTCGCCAACGAGATCAACACAACATTAGCTGACGATAGAGACTCGACTGCTTGTCTCGCCAGTGATCGTAGCCAATAACAGCAAATACTATTACGGTAGAGACGGGGCCGTAATCCGTAGGCGCAGGAGAGTTGCTGGCGCGAACTTATGACGCAGCAATCTTTGCCTGTTTGTTGCTGCTGCTCCGAAACGATGCAACGTCAAACCGACCATCACACCGCTATTTGTTAGCGTTAGCCAATCGAATGAATGAATTGGCGGGCTAGACTACGATGCTCACGATGTTAGCGGCGGCAGGGGCCGGAGCAGACAGCTTCGCTCACAGGCTCTGTCTCTCGTTAATAAGAGGACTGTTGCCGTACTTGTTCAGTAATAACGTTTTGTACGAGCTTAACATAGGCACCCACTGAATAGTTTTGGGTTTAAGAGACACAATTCATTTTGCGGGGGCATTTAAAAGCAATGTGAAGCAGCGATACCGGACATAAGATTTCAAGCGTAAAAGTACTCTAAATCAACATATTTAGCCAGCTGAACGCCGTGTAAGTTCGTAGATGAAATAGTGAAAGCTCATAGATAGAATTTGTCTAATAGGCATACATCCATACTTGCCGGTAATAGGCATAGAAAGAAGTGCTAGGAGGTTAATAGTCGTCCCTAGGTAGCAACACAGCCAGACTAAAATATAGTCATTGTAAGTATATATATATAAAATTAGGGGTATAGTAATCTTGTAATCGTAGAGACATTTAGTTAAACCAATACAGTATCTTTTTCAATTTGCCCAACTCAAATATCCGATAACAATCACGATCACCGATTATGTTGAGTAACCTAAACAATTATTTGGTATGTATGCATATTTTCAGATTGCCCCTGAGCGTGTTTAAGACATACCAATTCTAAATTCCCAACTGAGAGCCTTCTTCCAAAGCACATGATTCTTAGGAATGATTAGCTACTTAAGTTCGAAATGACTTATCGTTGCGTTGTTAAATATCAGAATATGATATTTGCACTATGTATATTACTTTGACTTGTACAAAAAGATACTTTTGCTAAATACAGTACAAGTTTACATTTTTATGCAGAAAACCACTCGAGCATGGCTGATTATGTCATTGCAGGGAAGTTATTAAACCTCATTATGAAACATTAGGTAACTCAAATAAAGGTAAAGGTATAGCTTGCGCTTGGCGACGCGACGAGATTTTAAACAAAAATTCTACGTCCGAGTTTACCGTCCTTAGAAAAAAAGTACTAATTCGTGTAAATAACATATACATGTATATATATTTCTCATATCAAAAACCCAGTGTACTTTAAATGTGCTTGAAACGAAATAGAAGTTTTGTTAACAGAGACATGTATTTATGATCCAAACACATGTTCACCGTTTTATTTTAGGGTTTTTAAAACCGGATTACTCACATAGGCTTATATAGGGGATTACATTTTTGTAAAGTGCTTCTCTAAATTCAGGGAAAGGTGGTAGTGTAGGTTCGAATATGCACATAAACGCTCCATTTCATGCTGGGAGCCAACCGTCTCAAGTGCCAGACGAAAAACGATATGCGGGACTACACTTACACGCAGATATGCACTATGTCGAACCGAGGAAAGGCTTCTGTTTAACACCTACCGAAAGTGAACAGTTATAACTCATTCATACGATGTTCGGCGAGAAAGACACTGGGGAGAAACAGCGAGAAACAACCCAGCGCCACATAGCCATTGCTCAATAAACAGAGCGACATGTTCACGCCGGCCAAAATCCCACTACATTTGTCGTAGTCTGGTAAAAGATTAACTGTATATCATAAAGGCGTGATCCTCGATAGATCGTGGGATTCAGAATTCAGAACCATGCACTTAGTGGACTAACTGTTGAGCTAACATGAATGGCGTTCTTGCTAACATGTTAAATCACTTCAGATCGCAGCGTTCCAACGACCAAGAATGGTCTGACCATCTTCGACGAAAAGACGTTGGGTTTGGCATTACACCAGTATGTCGAAACGCAGTAAAGAACTGTATGTCAAATTTCGATTTGTAGCTATATCGAAAGGCTGCTCTTAAGTTAAAAAATATGCAAAGTAAAAATTGTGATCAGTTCAAGAGATCCTTTATCTCGTATTGGATCACAGTGTTCCACATTCTAGCTTCGGTTAGAGCTAGAATAGACCAGCTTATTAGTATGTAGATCAGGCTCATAATCTTTTTTTTTGCAAAAGGCTTAAATAAAACTACCATTTCGTAGCCAAAAGTAATCATTCAGATCAATCCATAAAAAACGAAACGATTTCTAATATTTGAACTTACCTGTTTTGTTTGCATGTCTCATTAGGATGCAAATGAATTTTCATAGAAACCGTGGGAAGTAGAATTTAATGCAGGACTGAATGACTCTGATAATCTAAGATTCGTTTCCAGCTAGATCAAATTTAACAGGATAACCCGGCAATTATAAGCTGCGAGAGTTAAAATTAAATTAACTATTCAAACTAACCCAATGGTTTAACAGTTATAAAACTATTCAACTATATGGATTTTTTGTACAGATTGACGGTCCATAACGTCAATATACTCGCACTAAGCAATAATACCAGAGCCATGGCGTAGACCAATTTCGAATTTAAAGATGTGGCTATTTCCGATTTCACAATCAGAGGTACAGAGAGGTGAATGGAATAGTATGACGTTGAATAATGACTAATTACTCTAGGGCCTCTGAAATCCATTGAAATCAAGTTTGCTTTTTTTTGGAAATCAATGTATGGTAATGGAGGTTTTGAAAATCCGAGTTGGAGTTTTGGAATATTTAACTATTTACTTTGGACTCTTATGACAAGCAACCAAACGAATTATCTCCCTACTAATAAAAATAAGTTTAGGAATAATTAAATTAACCTAAACAAACCCTACCACCTCTACTCAATACATAATGAATCTCATAAAGGTAAACCACGGTACAGTTATTTTCTGAAGGTATTTATTTACGGAGTGGCCAACAATTTCATAAGTAATAAGTATTTCATGATAATTATTAAAGTTATCATCCACCGGTCTATATCTCTGCTTGCTTATTCACTCATTTCGATTTCGCTACTAACACGTAGTTTCCAACCTAATATTTCACTTTCACCATTTACAATGACTTCCTACTGCAGCCTAAAACACTGATGAGACCGAGCCTTTGAGGGTTGTATTGTTCTGGTGTTTTGCTGTTTTCCTTGTTCTTCCTCCGTACACGCTTGCAAAAATAGTCTTCTTGTCATTACTTGTTGATACACATTGCACCTCGTTGCAGGGACTTCATTCCGTTCCGTTTAGGGACTCGACTCACCAGTGCATTCTGTATTCGCCCCGCAATCTTCTTTGTAAATTATACCTAGCAGTTCAGGATCATGACCATCATCATTTGTATGCCCCTTCACTTAAGTCATAATCTCAACTATTCCAATGCCACCAAATTGGCAGTTGTATTCTGATTATAATTTTTTTTCTTTTTACCGCTTTTTTGTATTAACGGTGATGTAATCCGACGGTCCCTGCTACCACATGCCGTTGAGTAACGTCGGTTGATTGGAACTTCTTATCACCAACATTACAACATTTAGATATCGTCTTGGTTCTAGAGACGGGGACCGGATAAGCGCAGTTTGCCACCAAGCTTGCTTAGTTGTCATTACATATAATAGCGCACGCAATTGCAAGATGTATCTTACTCGCGGCACCTGCATCCCCACGTATTTTGCTCATGGGTCCATACCATTCACTCGTTCGTCGCTGTCTTTCTACTTACATTCAATTTGTTGTTATTATTATACCGGCTTCGTCGTCCGCAGCTTTCTTTGGAATTAATAAATTAACTTGGTTTACACTAAAAAAGTACCTCCATATTGGTACGCCCCCATACACGATCTTCGATCGGTCACTTTTTCACTTCATTATCGTTACAAGCATATTGGTTGTTAATGAAAGGAGCACGAACCTTCCGGATGTGCGTTCACCACACACGTCTTCTATGATGTGTCTAACTTTAGTCTATGCGCCGCGAGAATACACCAACCTTCCGGTCGTTCGTGCATCACAGGTGACGAATCCCGCTTAATTCTGTTGAGCTTCGAGCTTCTTCTTGAGGCTCTCGGGCATCGTGGGCGGAGGAGGACGAGGTAGACGGAGCCAGACCTTAACCGCGTCGTAAATGAACCACTGCAGCGCTGTCAACGTACCGATCATGATGATACGCGGAGTAAGTCCTTTCCATAGTCCACCAAAGCCAAGTTTTTTGGCAACGTCCACAGCCGTTGAGCCCTTCTCCTGATTTAGCTTCGAGACGATCGTATCGGCTGGATGCGATACGACAGCACAGAACACGCCGGCGATATAACCGGCCACAAAGGTCACAATGAGCTGTTCGCCTTTTGAGCATTGCTCACGTGGCTTCGGCACAACATGTTTGTACAGCAATTCGACAGTACGCTCAAAGCAAGCGAATTTCATCATAGTGTAGGGAATCTGCCTACCCCAGAGTGGCGTCAGGCCCTTATAGAACCCACCGAGACCCTCTTCTTTGAGGATTTGCGGAAATACCTGTGCAATTCAAAACGAAGTAGTTAAATGGCTGCGAATTTGCTTGAATAGGGCTATATAGAAACTACGGTATGTTGCCTCTCGTTGGTTGGCTAGAAAAACGATGTTTATATCTTTATATTTTTTGGTGCCCTGAAAGTATTTCAAACGAAAATGCATCTGTGAAATGTGTTATTATTCATGTACCTTGCTTAGGTAGCGCGAGCATCCTGGTTGAGTTTGGATCCGGACCTTACAGGCCTCCAGTGGACAGAGAGCGATGTCGGCAAAGAACTCGGCCGACGCGGAAGCGGCGAGGTACAATGAGGTACGCCACAGGAAAGCTTTCTCTTCGCCGAGTATATCGGCGTAGATGGCCTTGAATACCTCATAGAAACCGAATTTACCTATAATCGATAGAAAAATATAGGACAGAGTTAGATACTGTTGCTGTAGGAAAAATGGGAAAAAACATGTGAACATTGCTAGAGTACAACCCTATCGTCTATGATATAACATTCCTAATTAAAATGGAAAAACCGTCTCACTTACCAGGTTCCCATTTCAAAGGAAAGCTACCTACCAAGCCTTTTGAAGCCATTGACTAACAAACTATTTGGATTGAAATAATCATATCTGCATGCTTTAATTACTGGACATTGACTACAGGCGAACAGATTCAACGACCCGCAGTAAAAAAACGCTGCTATGATTCAATATCAAATAAATTCATTTTCGATAGGGATTAAGTAGTCGAGCTTTTGTTCTTTGATTACCCTCTCCCTGTCGTTCCATGCGTTTGTTTTTTGGAAACTCTCGCCCCAGATTACAAAGCAGGTAATATATGGAACGTGTGTCGCGCGAGTACGTCTTGAGATTCGTCTCATTGATTGATTACAACCGAGCAAAATAAATACAAAGCAGTTTTTTTTTTTCACAATTTGGTTGCGCTTCTAGAGCTTGAAAATTTATGGCAGTGGGAATGAGACTCAGCTGCCTTTGTCGTGACAACTTTGAGAACATTTTCGATAAATTTTGTCAGCCCACTAATATTGAAGCCATAACGCCACCATACAACTCCATGCCCACCAGTCTGTAAGGACATTGCTTATATCAAGAGTCCGGGGTATCTTACAGTACAGCTAATCAAACCCGTACGTTTTCTCCCGAGTTCGCGGTAATCTTCGCAGAATGTCGGCGACGTGATCACGTGTTAGAAACACGACTTTCGTCAGATAAACCCTTCGACGTGAATAAATGGTAAATCACTAGTGATACATTTAACAATATCTGTGTAGATATTGTTAAATGTATCACTTTATCTTTATGTAAAGATTCTAAAGGAGTCATTGCTATCTATAGCTTGAGCTTTGCTAAGGCGTTCGGTCCCCCTTTTAATCATGTCAAGCTTCAGGAGATCTGACTGCCATCAAAAGACCGTTGTAAAGTGTCATCAATTCGCTTGACATTCTACTTTTTGCTCAGGACCCACATTCGTTTAAAACAGTTCATTGTATCATATATAAGACATGAAGTATTTCACTTCATATATAGCGTCTGCACGTTTTATTATGCGATGGTCACCACGAGGGTTCGTAATCGAGCGCAGTGCAGCAAAGCCAAATTTAGGAAAGCACCCTTCAAACACGAAAGTTATGTTTTATAGCGTGATTTCGAGAAATCAGTTTAATGTATAACTTACATGTTACTTACCGAGACCCTGGAGGGAGTAACCGATGCAGGTAGGAGCCCATCCGCGGAGAAGGCCACGGGCGCCATCCTCTTGAAGGGTGACCCTGAAGCCATTGAAAATGCTCTTGTACTTCGCCGGATCTGTCTGAATGCGGCACTTCACGAGATCAAGTGGGGTGACGGCAGTGTGGGTGATGCCACATGACAGAACACCTCCAAGACCACAGAGTGCGTAGTACTTGCCCGAGCCATACGGGACCTCATCAGCGGTGGCGGCCGCCGATAGCATCCGAACCGGGGCATGGACGACCGGCGGGGTCGAGATGGCTGGCATGGCTTCGCATTTCGCCATGGGAGCCACGAAGGGGCTGCGAAATCGAATCGGTTGCTCGTTTCGTCTAAACATTTTGTTGCAAGAGTGTTATGGAGCAGGCAGTAGGTAACTTGTCGACTAGCCCAGCACACCACAAGGGCACGATTACTATATTTTCTACTGACACCGCACACTCAACATCCACAATCAACCGTCCCACAGGCCTCTAGTACGCTCGAATGGATGCCGGCGAAGAAAGATGGCTGCCAAAGTCACCCTTTTAGAAGTAGAAGGAGACAAGCGGCGCGCTGATTTGAATCGTTCAGTGTTCATCTTCGGCTCGCAGGAAGACCGACCAGTGTCAGTCAAGGATGTAGAAATCCGCCTAAATCCTAATAACTTACATATTTCTATGAAGTAACGTTCTACTATGCTTGTATCAACTTACTGCTTTCTTCATCATAGTGCAACTGTTTTCAGCTTGCAGTGGTTCGGAGTGTGGTGCTGTACGTGGTGATGTTATTGTTTTGCTAAAAGTCCCACTAGGTCGCGATAACTTGTTAAAAACGATATAGCCCAATGTTATGCGCTTCATGCATTCGCGCTACAGTTACGCTCTAGTGGAGGTCACACCAAAAGTTGTCCTCTAGTTTCAGTTCATGGAGTTTCTTTCAGCATTGTGTTATCGCCGCTAATCCTTCAACTCGTGTTCTGGCCTTTCAAGAATTTTGGAGGCTTATAATTATCTTGAAACAAAATGTCCGTTACTCCGATTTTTAGAACTCCGTTTACCGATCTTTCGAGTGCGACTCTGAACTATGAAACCATAAAACAGTGCCGTCCTTTTTACGTTCAGTACGCAAAGTGCCAGGAAGCTTGGGGTGGCTCCCAGTTTCCGTCGCGGTGCAGGTACATATTTCTTTTCAGCAACAATTTTACAATAGAAAAGAAAATAGTCATCATTGTTTTCATAATTGATCAGAGTAAAGTTAAACATTTTTATGAGCAAGAAATATTTAACGACACATTCTCATGCCAAATTTAAACGACGGGTTAATACGTAATTATGTGCGAACAAAATAAGTTGTGAAGTAAACGGCAGCATACGGCGTAAGCCACTGCAGGAAGTGCGCCTTGCGAGTAAATTCAATAGTTGGCACAGCTAAAAAAAGCTTCACTGTGGGACTTCGATATTCTGTGTTACATATTCAAATGTGCTTTAGTTACATGTACAATACGAGCAAAAATCTCGTTCATGACGTGCGCTCAATTCAGTGGAATGTAGTTGCAACTCGCAACAGCTTATCGGCCTTTTTAACCGTTAGCCAAACAAGGAATCGTTATAAACATCAGTTTTTTGCTTAACATCAGTTCTAATATACAATCCTATTAAGCCACCATTTTTCGTACTTAGTAATAGTTAAATGTTTTTCATTAGATTTTTCTCGATTCGATTTTGCACAAACGGTTGGAGCCGTCGTAAGCGATCGAATAACTAGAAATATCCTAAGCTATCAAGCTACTCAGCCTCGTCCGTTTCGATTTCAAAAAATCAAAAGAATGCTACTGAAGTACAAATCGGTTACATCTATCAAGCTTTGCAGGAAGCAGGACAAAGTTGTCATCACCATATGCGAGAAAGTGGTTGTACTCCATGTATAGCGGTAAATGTTGTTACACAAGTAAAATGAATCACCATAATGTCTGTAGTAATTCGAATTTCTATTAAAGATATCTCTATTATGGTGCACTAACGGGTCCGCTCTAAAACCCAACAGAAAAATGATTGTTTTTGTTAGTACTAACATATCTTCGTTTCGTTTCGTTGTTTCGCTGAGACCAGGTACGAGCATATGGATTTACTGGAGTGTGTGCACCATATCCGACAACAGCAACGTACAAAGGCGATTCAAGATCAGCGGGAAAAATTATTCAGAGAAGGAAAGATTAAAAACAGGTAAACGAGAGATGCTGTCGTAAGGGGTCCTACAATGTGCTAGGCCGAGAGGCTGTTGCTCAGAGCTATGGGTTTTCAGGTATTAAGTAGCTTTTTCTCTGCCATATTGTTGCCACTGTGCATTGTGAAAGAACAAAGGGTTACGATAAGACCTCAAGCCGCTTTCAGGATAGTCGATACACATCTACGAACCTAATTCGTCTTAAATACTAGAAGAAAGTTTTTATTATAACGGTGGGGTATCGGCACTTATGGTAATTGACGTCATGGTCGTGCATCCTAACTGAAACCAAAACGACGTACCTGAGCAACTGTTTAATAGAAGGTTCGATCTTACAAGATATTAGAGTTACTTGTCCTTTACTTCAAGCCGATCATGTTGCACCAAAATGTATCGTAGCTGTCAAGATTTTTTTGACCAATTACTCAGTGACCTGTGAGGAATATATTGTTCATATATTTTTTTCAGATACATGGAGGCTCCGCTCCCCGATATTTTCTCTCAGACGCACTTGAAAGATCCTTGGTAAAAATTTGTGTCAGCCCAAAATGTTTTTTGGCAGATGATGAAAATTCCGGCAGTTCCGTAAGGATCATTATCTGATGTAGCGTCTGAGTTATTTGTCTCAATATGATAAAAAAAACATTCACAAAAAAGAAAAACGTCTCCTGGCAAGAATAGTTTTAATAGACATAAGAATGATATTTGAATGTCATTATTCAGCATGGTAAAATGTTACATAAATGAAAAAAGAATAGGAGAAAATAAATGTGATTTTAGAATGTATTAATATAGCCATTGTCCTGCTTGTTTCTTTCATTAAATCTTTCTTAATTGATTTAATATATTGAGGCCATTTATTTAACAGATGTATTACGTATTTTGTAAATTACAGCCATTTTGAGCTCATTAATGTATTGAATCCGCGTAAAGTCAAAGTCTACTTCTGGCTGAATTGTTCGTTTAGTGTGCCGATTCACTTCACGGGATGTCACTTGCTAGGATTTCTAGCGAATAATACCAATTTTTCAAAGAGCATTAATTACTCTTAAACTTTTAGGGACTGGTTCCAGTCATTAGAATATCTGAGGAAACACTACCTATAGACGCACATAGTGAAAACACGGTTTACGTTAATTTTTATTGTTAATCCTTCAAGTTGTTTCTCTTCATTTTTTTTTCTTTTTTCAAAATGAGTCAAAGAGAATCTCAGTTCATTTACACAAACTTTCCATAGAATTTGCAGTTACATGTATAAAGTCGGCAAAAAGGACATTGCAACTTATAATGGTCTAAATAGTTTTCATGTCAGTTTAGGAAATACTATTGATCACCTCCAAAGAAAATAGCTATTATAGCACTGTTATTGAAATTAAGAGTCAGTTCAAAAGAAAAATCAACAATCATAAAGGTGTGTCAGCTCCTTATGGCGAAGGTCATCGAAAGATCATTAATGTAAGTATTGCTATAATGTAATTATAAATGTGTAAAGTACAGCTATAATATAAAGGTTGCAGGCAGCAGAATCACTTGGAAGCAGGTGTCTTGGGACAAATCGAGTAAGCTAAGTGACTGTGACGTTTGGAGACACGCAGTGGCCAAGTGCTTATGCTGCGTTATAAAAGATATTTATATCTTTTATATATATACGACGCAAATATTAGAATAAGGCAAATTTATGTCAATTTTCAACGTTTAGTACCTTCTTGAAATTCACAGCATAATTAATAGTTATAATCTTACAACCAGTTTGCATGACAGATCTGGTATGATAATATCACACATATTCTGAGTCACTAATCGAATAGAACTGGTGGGTTTTGGAAATAAAGAACTCTGTCGACAGGATACAGGCTATTTGGGCGTAGTCACGAATCCATAGGTTGACATAGTGGCCATACATGTGTGTAATGATGTAGCAAAAGGACATTGAAAATGTTTAAAATTCAAGGCTATTTAGCGTGGTGTTAGCGTGTGGCAAAGTCGGCCACTTTAGCTACGACTGCTCTGGTTTGTCTCGAGCAGGCGCTCGAAACGACAAAAAAAATCGCTCCAAATAACGTTACGCGAGTTTCCTCTCTCTGGCGACTAACAGACGACACGGATGGCGCAGCTTGCGCCGTCCCATGCAGATGTTTTCTGGCTCCAGAAGGTCGGACAGCTAAGGTCGAGCGAATTCGAAAGTAGCAAAAGTCGTAACAATATTTGTAACGTATTAATATGTTTCATCAATCCTATATTTCTATGGAGCTCAACTCGTTTATGGGACTGAAACATGTTTCATTAATTAGTAATCATAATTAGTTCCATTAATCAAGTAATTAGACGAAGCACAGTGTTACTGCCGCTAATGATGTCGAATCAACTATCCTTGAAATGTACTTGTAGATTTGCTTGAACCTTTTTGGCTTCAATTGTCTTCGTAGAGAAGTCTTCATGTAGTTGAGTTTAATATGGACAGAGTATTGGTAATCAAGCCTAGGTCACTATCGTCTTTATTACATGTTGTTAAGAAACTCGCAGGTTTTCAGCAGGCTCACGTCTACTTTGGCAATAGGGGAAACCATAGAGCTCCTAGAGAGCCAAAAAACGGAAAGAAACGGAAGAGAGCTCTTCGTAATATTTACTTTCAGTTTTAATAAACACAGGGCCGTATTCCCCAAAATTGATGTGCTTCAGAACGTGTGTGTGCTACTTCATTCCACTTACTTAGTCAAAAAGTCTACGTGCTGTGTGACAAAGGCCAGCTTATTTATTGTGCCTTGCTAACAACTTTAGAGAACTTGACATATATATAGCTTCATTGACATGTGGGACCACCTGTCTACCTACGGTAACGCTGTCTTCTCCCTTAGCATTATTTGATCGATTTAGGTAGCCCTTCTTTCAACTTAAACAGAAATGGAAGTAGCATTCACAATACTGGTAATAGCTGTTGTTTTTTCCTATCAGACTAACTCTTTTCGTGCTGTTGTTTCCGAGGGCCTTTAGTTTATTCACCTGTCTGTGTTTGTTTTGAATTTGTTAGATAGGTTTATCCATCTCCATTTCGTCATGCGTAGTTCCTGCAGCAATAGCCGTCTTGGCGGGCTCTTATAAGCTGAACGTGCTGACCCGGGCTCTCAGTTAGAAACTTGACAACGGGATGTTCGAGTAAAATGAGTTCTTTGGCTTCGAACTATGAGCCAGTGCTCAGTTGGAAGACTTAAACCTGCGTTGTAAACTATCTAGATACCAATGCTTCTTGCCATGCTTGATTAACCCGATTCTCAAAGTTCCACATTTAGGCATATTTGAACCTAAGACACGGAGGCAGGTAGAAATGCAGCTGTCTAAGCTAAACTAAACCAAGTAGGTTTCCTTGGTTTCCCATTGGCTTTGGGTGTTCTTGAGTTCGAGATAGCCCTTTTGGTTAGTGTTCCGCAGTACCCTACATATCTTCTTCTTGACAGTAGCTTCCCTAGCTAGACGATTAATCGATGGTCGCGCGCAAATGACGTAGACAAGTCGTCGAAGGATTGTTACTTCTTGTTATAAGGTCAACAAGTCAGTTGAGACGCGTCGGTACCGCATGAGAACAACCAGAGCCACGGAGTGCCTCAGGAGAGAAACAAAGTCCTCGATGGGTACTGTTTTCCCCATAAAGGGGGTTGTCGTCTTTAATAAACCGGCGCCGAATCAATGCACGCCGCTTGCTTCTGAGCAGACTATTTCGTGGCCGTTCACCCCTAGTTCTTCCTGCGCACCTAGCGTTTTAGTTACTTGTTTGAGTATCTGGGCCCCCCGAAGAGGCGGCGGACAGAGTACGGGGCGTGAACACCACCGCTACCCTTTCAGACCTAAAAACAGCATTATAAGACTAATAGATAGCAGAACCTGTGCTAAGCTCCACGCGTTTCTACGCAGGTCTTCTGAGCCACGATGAGGGTTACTCGGTATCACCACGGACCACTGGCTCCGTGAGCAATATATATATATATACTAGTGTAGCCTCGTGGCGGCTTTCTCTAACAAGTACAGTATATGTAGATAATAATATATCTTTAGTGAGATGCGGATGGATACGCGTCAACCAAAGCAGTTATAGCCGCTGCTGTCCTGAGTAGCGTCGGCGCGACCTCTGCGTTAATCAACAGAGAAGAAGAAATGAAATGACGTAACATTCGACCGTTGCGAGCACCCTGCATTGGATGCGAAAGACTGTGTACAATTAGAACCACGGTGATTATCGGTGCTATACAGCATCTATTCTTCCATTATACTGCACTAGCAGCTGGTGTCTTGAGTTATTTGATTGGCCGTATAGCCGGACCCATATTTGATGGTGGTCTTTACCGGACGCGCGGTCTGGCAAGCGTGATTAGAGGAACCGACAGCGCGACGTGACAGACGGTTTCCGATGGACAAAGGCTATGGACCTGGAGAATAGCTACAATCGACAATTGCAGTAAAGCATGAAATCAGAAATTGTACATTGCCAAACGACTAACAAATGACTACTAAGTGGGTGGCGTCCGTATGCTTATGCAGAGCTAACAAGATCTTTTGCGTATTTATCGTGCTTTCCTATTCTCAGTGGGTTTATGATGCATTTGAAAAAACTTGCTCATATATATATATACATGT